TCATATCATCATCTTTCTTGGATTTCAAATCAGGAATATCTGACTCATTGTCACTCTCTTCCACTTGGGCTTGTTGCTGTCCTTCACATTCAAGTCTGTCCTTTTCAGTTTCTGGAGCTATCAATGCCCAAGCATCTTCTTGTGGACCAAACTTCTCCAGCATGTCCTCAGCTTCATCTACTGCCTTAGCATTAGCTTCATACAATGACTGGTTACTTTCAACAATATTTCTCACAGGTTTCAACATTCCACCAAACTTAATAATGCCATTTCTATAAAATTCCTCATATGTTTCAAACTGTTGCGGTTTCAGCTGGGCATCAACACGATATGGAAGGTACAACTGCAGTATGCTCTGGTAGTACTTTTCAGGACATTTTGCTGATGAAAATCTAGGAAATCGTATAACAGCTGGATCAGTTCGACTTCGTTTCTGTATGTGGCCTAAACCATTCTTCAATTCATATACTGGTGAACGAGTTGTTTTAGCCATGTTTGTATATATAACTCTATAATCTGAGCAAAATGTTGCCAAGCACATTGTTTCAAATTTGTCAGTATTTGGTCTTGCTAGGTACCTATCAATTCTACTAGTCATCCAAATATTATCATCTTCATCACATGTATTTTGAATAACACTCAGAGGCTTACTCATTCTAATTGGATTTTCACCGACAGGTATGAATTCCACTTTCCTTGATCCTTCTTTCAATCTGAGATTACAAACACGGTAAACTGCTTCTTGTGCTGATACTTCACGATTATGCAAATACACACAGCCAATTTCCCGCATGCTCTGTCTTGCATCCAAATTTCCTTTCTGTGCCTCTGCCTGAGCATGTGACAACAATATACCCATTTCACGTTCAGCTTTTGACATATACGATACCACGTAAGCAACACAAGCATAAGCATCACAAATGTACTGAATATCCATGTTAGCATTCCAACATCTTATCAAATCTGGATTGTACAAATTAACCCATACATCTTGTGGCTGTCTCTTATGAACTAAACTCGTTTTGTGACTTAATACATCATTCGCTTTTTCAAAATCACTTTGTGTCATATTTATACTTGCAAACAATTCATTGGTTGTCATGTGTTCGTTCTCACTTTTTTGTATTGCAGTCCATATTGATTGCAGTAATTCCTTAGCCTTATTTCTTTCACTGCTTTCACCATTAGTTTGATCCTCATCATCTGTTGGCATGGGCTCTGTAATGAATGTTCGTTCAGATGGAGGTCTTGGGAAATTAAACCTACACTCAGTACCCTTCTTTTTACATGACTTGGAATGCTTTCTGCTGTGCAACTGTACATGACTAATAATTTCATGTAATTCTTCATCCTTGTCCTTTGATGGTAATTTACAACTTATATATTTGTCAACAAACTGTACAACCTCTCTTTCACTGTCATCTCCCAACTTGGGTGCATTTTCAATCCAGAAAAGACAATGTGTATGTGGCGACCCTCTTTGTTGAAATTCTACTCTGTAAAAATAGTCTATGACTTTTCCTATTGGTTCAGCTCTGGACAATATAACATCTCTCAGAAACGTATGAAATCGCTGATCAAACATTCTCGCAGCAGTAACAGGATTACTTCGCAATATGGTACATTTCTCATTCCAGTCCAAACCTTCTACATTTCTAGAATCACCTTGCTGTCTTAAAATTGTATTGATTACCTCAGGCCACCGCATATCAGCTGCAGAAAATGAACAAAACCATGTTGGTATTCCTAACTGTCTGATCATAGCCAAAACATCCTTCTGTGCTGCTTGCCAGTATGGGGGTGTACCACGAATGGGCTTGAGAAATTTGTATCCACTATCTGACTTCAACATATCTTGTAATTGGTCCCTGTCATTGATCATGGAGGCATTCACACTGTCACCATTGTACTTTTTATCAGATCCTTTTCGCAGTGCAATTGAAACACTGGACATAACTCTCTGAATCTCTGACAAATACTGAGCATAAAAGATATATTGAGTACACATTGCAAATCTATTATCAACATTCATCAGTCGGTTATGCAAATATCGGCAAAGTGTCAATTTCACTTCACGATCATCATCAAAAATAGGTTGACCTGATGGAAATAATGCTGGAAAGCATTTGGCTTCATTACCCTTTTCCATTAGCACTCTAATTGGACTATTGCCTTCACATGGAGCCACACACAGCACTTCCTCAAAATACTGATCTAGTATTTCCTGTCCTACATTAGTTGGCTGAAGACAAGTGTCTAATGCAATGCCTCGTAAACGATCATCATCAGTTTCCTCATCACTGTTACCGCTTTCATCGTTGGTTTCTTCTTTCACATCAGGTACAGACTGATCCATTTCATGATCATCTTCACACAATGGATTATCCCAATCAGCATTTATTTCAATGTCACTGAACCATTTATTATTATGTTGAAGATATCGTAATGCATTCTCCACATTTTCTTTACTCACAAACTGATATTGATAATATCCTTTATAAGTCAATTTTCTCTTCAGCTTGACTCGGATCATCTGATCATCACTTTCAGGCCTTGGTAGTGCTTTGACTGTGTCTGTTATATTTGATGGTACACACACAACTGGACCTCGTACACCATGTTGTCCTCCTTTAGGCAATGCAATCATTTTCATGAACGGTACATTTATTGCAATTAGATGCTCTTCTAACGTATTCAAACAAGCTAATTCCTCAGGGATGTCCATCAGGTTTAAATTATTCACATTAGCTTCAGCAGGGACTTTATTAACAAGTAATTTTCTGTGACAGGTATAACATATCCATAAACATGATCTGCTTGATTCTGCAATTATACACTTGGATTCACAATGATCACTACAAGTATGAAGATATTTGTCACTAATTGACTTCTGATCTTTGTATTTGTACAGGTTACACTGTATAACTTGCTTTTGAAACAGCAGTTTATGACAGCAAGCACACACATACTCAGGTCCTTTAGCTATGCTTTCTTTGAATGTCTTTGTAACAAAACAAATTTTACGTCTTTTCTCTTTGTTAATCGCAGCACGTTTGTAATTCATCTCTGCCATACTTTTACGATATTCACTATTTATTTCATACTTCCTTTTTCCATACTTTATTAACTTTGCCCTGTAAGATGTCACACATCGGTATTTCTTTTTGATACTTGCGATGAGCTTTCTTCTATATGAAACATTGCCATGATATTTACATTTAGCTCTATTTATTTTCTTCTGTCTATAAGCAAGATCTTTATGGTACTTTGCTTTGCACTTGCTTTTTTCATAATTTATTAGCTTATCTCTATATCCTGCATCATCACGGTACTTTCTTTTCCCCTTATTGATTTTATTTTCTCTGTATTCAGGATTATTGTAATACTTTGTTTTTCCCTCATTGATTACCTTGATTCTGTATTCAGCATCATCACAATATTTGCTTTTCAACATGGCGATCAAATTCTCTCTGTACTGAGGATTCTGGCTATACTTTGTTTTCCCCTTAGTGATCAACTTCTCTCTGTACTCAGGATTCTGGCTATACTTTGTTTTCCCCTTAGTGATCAGCTTCTCTCTGTACTCAGGATTCTGGCAATACTTGGCTTTCCCTTTGTTGATTTTCTTCTCTCTATATTCAGGATTATCACGGTAATTTCTTTTCCCACTGTTTCTTTTCTTTTCTTTGTATTCTTGATTGTGACAATATTTCTCTTTTTTATGCTTCAGAATACCTTTTTTATGCGTTTCATTGTTATAGTCTCTCTTTTGAGCCTTTAATCGCTCTGTTTTAAAGTCCATGTCACTACTGTACTTTATTTTTAGCAATTCCTTCTTCTTGTCTGCATTCTTTTGGTAGTTCTTCTGGTTTTTCATCTTTTTACTTTGCTTTTGCTCTAAAATCCTATTCTTTTCACGCACCTTGTCTGCATACCTTTCCTTAGCTTTCTCTCTTTTCTTTCTTTGTTGTAATTTTGTATTTGATCGCTTACGCCTTTTACACTTCAAATTCTTTTCCGACTTACTGGAGGTACCATTTTTCACACATTCTGCTCCTTTATGACTTGTTACTTTCTGTTGTCCATTATCACATTGCCTTCTTGATTGAGTTGATGCATGAACTGACAACACAACATCATAGTGAATTCTACGCCTATGGTACAAGTAAATTGCCTCATCTAATATTACAGCCTCTCTCTCAAAGGTGCTTGCAGAGAAAACATACCACTTATTTACATCTTCAAATGTATATATGTCTGTATGCAGCATGTGTGCCATCGCCATGATTTCAACCTCTGTAGCCCACACTCCAGAGTCAAACATTCGTTGCCTTGTGATATAATCTTCCACATTAACAAACCCTTGTCGCAGAAAACCATTGAATTTATCTCCATTTTTTAACAAGTGATTGACAGTAGCCATTCTTAACTGCAAATGATTATCTTCAGATCCCGACACAGCAAATGATATAGCCCTGAAAAAGCAATTCCCATCTCCTTTAATTTTCTTCACTGAATCAGGTCGTCCCATCTCTTCACATGTATCTGAAACCTCATTACAGTCCAGAGATACGTGGCCTATTCTATGTTCTCTACATACTGCCTGTTTCCTATTATAAGTCAGGGGAACAAATTTAAACTTTTGCATCTGGACCACTTCCATAATTTCAACATCACTGTTGTCATTGACTTTATTACTGCGACTCATTTCACTGCAACTATGTTTGTTGCCTTCCTTCAAATTATTTGGTAGATCCGTACATGTCCTTGACAAACCTCTACCAGAACCAACAACATCTACTATAGACCCAGAGTTTCCTTCATCCACTTTTGCTTTATTGCAATCACTCCTTGCCAGTACTGAATCATTATTGTCTTCCGTACATATACTTGCATCAGCATCGTGTCTTTCCTCATCATCTAACCACACAGATACACCTGTAACTTCAAACTGCTCATTATCAGACAAGCACATAGACTTTGCCAAATCACTACAATACCTGTGTACATCTTGCCAAGTAGCAACACGTTTCAACAGACTTGTTCCTTCACTGACTTGGCAACCTTGCTGGTTTCTAGAGTGAGAATCAAAGATATAATACATGCCATCTTGAGTAATTACAACAAATGTATTTCCATGGAAACATATGAAACTTGCATAGTGTTGTTGAAGACTCTGTTCTAATGTACGATTCAGCGGCATCATATGAAATTCTGGCAAATTACACTCTTCTCCTAATGTACCACATACAGGATCATGAAACCTCATACTGAAATGATGATTGAGCAAATCCAATTCATTTGGCAGTTCATTTATCAACAAGTATCGAGTATTCACTGTAGAACTTCTGGATAAATGTCTGTATAACTCATTTCCAGTATTTAGTGTAGTATCAATATCACTACAAGACCAGTCTTTCAACTCTTTGACTTTACTGTATAAAACACAGCACAAACTGTTCGGTACACATTGTTTTCCTGAACTCCATCCAAATCTATGATCACCTTGATGAAAACTTCCCTGCACAATCATTGTGTCTGATCCAATGTAATTCTTTCCTCTACTACATTTTCTTTTACTCTCCTGATTGTGTTTGCCTCCCACAGATTTACATGTTTCATGTTGCAAAATTTTGCATTTTTTGACATTACCTTTGGCTTTGACATCATGCTCACTATCTAAAACTTCATGTGCATTTTGTACATGTACCTCCTTTTGTTTATGTTTTGTTTCACCACTTTTATTGTCACTTGATAGCTGCCGTTTCTTACTAACTGGATATGCTGTTTCACGTCTTGTTTCACAATTGCATTCACCTTGCAAATTCTTTGATTGACAACTTTGTTCACCAGTTTTACTGCCCTTATCAACACTGTCTTCAACCTTTCCATTTCTTGCACCTCTTCTACCCCTCCTTCCAACAGGTTCGGACATGCTAGTTTGATTTTCATCTGTATCATCTACTTCTGGGGGTTGGCTTTTCTTGCTCCGCAGTGAGTAACCACCTGTCTGCCTACGTACCACCACTTCTTTGGTTTCAGTCATTAATTTCATGCAACCTGTTCTTTGTTTTCTGTTTGCATCACTTACATTTTTTCTCTGATTGTCTTTGTTGCTGTCCTTCCTGCACATTCCATTCACGGACCTCTCTCTGACCACATCATCGGTGCATGTCTCCTGAACTGTCAACTCATACATGTTATCATCTGTTGGAATACCAAGATTACATAACAGAGACTCAGAATAAGTACTCCTCCCACATTTTCTGCACAACCATGTCACAGCTTTGTTGCTCAACAGCTGTTTCATCTTTGAGAAATTCATACAATGCACATGATACCAAATGTCACAGCCATCACACTGCACGTTGTTTTCAGATGAATTAATACTCTTATCGCACAACCAGCACTGCTTGTCTTGAATTTCATTTACATTCGATCTCTTTGCAAATTTACTCTTCTTTTGTGATCTCCATGGTTTACACTGATATCTGCTGTGTTTCTGCACTATGCATTTGTCTCCCTTATCTGGCATGTTGTTCAAGACATTACTCAAACTTCTTCTAGTGTGACTTTGTAAATTCTTCTGGGCATTCTTCTGGTTTCTTCTGTCCTCCTTACTCATGCGCAATTCGATCATCTTACCATTCCTCATTCTGTGGTAGGCCTGTCTACGTTGGCTTCTTCTCATTTTCTTTCTATTTGGTTTAGAAACCTTCTTTGCCTCTTGACAGTACTCTACATAACTTTCCAATACCTGACTTCTGCTACAGCATGTTTGTCTGCTTACCTTCAAGCTTCTCAATGCTTTCTGATTACTTACTCTCTGCTTTGTCATTTTGTTGATTCTCCGCATCTTCAGTTCACTCACCCTTCTTCTCTGCACAAGATAGTCACTGCATCTAGGCTCAGTATCATCGATGTGGCTTCTCAGGTTAAACTCGTATGCTCTGTGATTATACTCATATGCTCTCAGTTTCAAGTCATATTTCCTGTTTAGTTTCTGTTCATATTCTCTCTGTTTAATCTCATGTTTTCTCATGTTATCTGTGCATCTTTTCTCAAGATTAATCCAGCTGAAGGGCACGCTGGCCCCAGTACCCTCCCAGTGAGAACAAGGAACACGCTGGAACCTTTGTTCTCCGAGTACGAGTACACAGTCTGCGTGTACCAGCTGGTTTGCGCACTGCCTGTGAAACACAGGCAGGCGTCTTCCCTGAGGAGGTGCCAACCTCAGGGAAGTTGAAAGAACGTCACAGCTCGTCTTCTTCAGCGTCTTCACCATTTTCTGCAAAACAGAGAAAAGAGAGAAAAACGATAAATAACACATATTATAAATACGGAAGAGTTCCATGCACGGACAACGCTTATTTTTCCCTATAGTGGCCTACAAGCCATGAACAGCAATGACATGCCCTTATCCGTCAAATTATAGTAGTGAACAGGCATTTACTTAGCAAAAAAATACAATTCTTCAGAGCAGTCGCATAGGATTTGTGCACAGGGGGTCAAGTGTTGTTTGTGTATAGAACTCTTTCCCATGAATATAGTTATTGTGAATGGCCCTTGACTACAGCATCGGTCCTTAAGTATATCCCAACTATAAATAACATTTTCCAACTAGACGGCCACTCTCCATTGGAATGAATATAACAGCGTATTGGGAGGCAATCACCCAAAATGGCCCCCCCCCCAAGGAAAAACAAACAGAGAAAAGCAAATGAACACTTAAAAATTGCCAAATTCTAACAAAATGACAGGCTATGCCCCCCCCCCTTCATTATACAAAGTTTGGTCATTTACAATTGTCAAGTACTTAAGCCCCCCTCCTCAATATCTAAAGTACAATTGGGAAAGTATACAAATAATAAATGTTTACGAGTGCAATGGTGAGAATATTTCCATGAGTTGAAAGATGGAACATTTCTTCTTTCAACGAATGGAAATATTCTCTCCATTGCACGAATGAAAAACATTCATTATTTGTTTTATATAACGACATACACATCTTTGTCATTTGATTGTAGGATATAAAAACTGACTTTAAGTCACTAATGCCACCATGTTTTTAACATTAAATTAGAAAATGATTTCACTTAATACTCAGTGAGAATTTTAAACTCATAATTTCACACAGCTGACAAAACAACGTGACCATGACATATCTTGAGAATTATTCATGTTTGTAAAAAGAGAACAGTGCAATTTTATTTTATTCGCAAACTATATACATGTACATGTATGCAGGAAATTCCCACACAAACAGCGAGCCTTATCTAACATGTCTAAGTAAATCCCTGATAACTTTGCATCAGACTGAATTATTCCATTTAAATAATTCAATAATAAAATCGACATTCTTTCCTTATTTTATATTTACATCTTATATAAACCCCAACTCTAGCATTGTCTAGGATTAAGGCTCATTACTATTATTAGTTGGCAAATACAGTCATAACATGACATAACATGTGCACTTCTATATGCCCACACCCCCCCCCCACCTTTCATTATTTTTCAGTGATCACCAAGGTGGTATCAAACTATTGTACAACTAGACTACATGTACATGAATCATTTTTCCCACGACAAAATAATGTTAGTATTACTGAGTTAGGCATAGCGGGCATAGCAATTACGTACAGACTAGCCCCATTAATGTGGCCTATTTACTGGACTGCCTCCGAAAACATAGGCCACACATCCACATGTACAAAAATCGTGTCGACTTTGCCAAGTTTTGATTTTCACATTTAGGCTTAGTTTGTAAGTTTTTTTTGCTTTAGAAGCATACTCACCCTCTTTATAGGCTAATCAGAAAGTGCTGCCTTTTCCAGATGTCTATTTTTCGTGAAATTTCCAGATCCATTTGCACACGTTTGCGTATCAACTAGCTGGAGTTACCCAGCCCTGAGTTTTATCATTGGGTTGTTTCTAGGGCTGGAGCGTATTTTTCTCGTAACTAGTAGTAAATTCAAAAATTTTTGGAAAATGTTCAATTCTGTCCCCGTTACACACTAATTGCAACTGCAACTCACCCCAAACTTGCCTGGAATAACCATTACACAGGTCCTTGAAGTAAAAAACGATCCACGATGAAGATTCAGCCTACAATTGCAGTGAAAACAGGAGGAATGACCGCTAACTTGACAACCTTGCTGGATTGGCCAGGACTGCTTTTGGTTTGTGCACTAAAAAAAAATTGTGTACAATGAATGGCGGGGGTCGATTACCATCCACGTACAGCTCGCTGGTACTACGCGTTTTTGCGGTCGGTGCATGACGTGACGCGGAAGCGTAATACCCGATGACTGTTTCATGCATTAAGAAGAGGTTCACTCGCATCACAGTGCGGTACTGGAACGGCAACCGTCGAGTTGGCCGGCTATCGTGCATTCATAGTGCAGTGTTAATGCATGAAACAGTCATCGGGTATTACGCTTCCGCGTCACGTCATGGACCGACCGCAAAAACGCGTAGTACCAGCGAGCTGTACGTGGATGGTAATCGACCGCCGCCATTCATTGTACACAATTTTTTTTTAGTGCACAAACCAATAGCAGTCCTGGCCAATCCAGCAAGGTTGTCAAGTTAGCAGTTATTCCTCCTGTTTTCACTGCAATTGTGGGCTGAATCTTCATCGTGGATCGTTTTTTACTTCAAGGACCTGTGTAATGGTTATTCCAGGCAAGTTTGGGGTGAGTTGCAGTTGCAATTAGTGTGTAACGGGGACAAAATTGAACATTTTCCAAAAATTTTTGAATATACTACTAATTACGAGAAAAATACGCTCCAGCCCTAATAGACAACCCAATGATAAAACTCAGGGCTGGGTAACTCCAGCTACGTATCAACATGAAATTTAGCAAAAATTAGCCATCTGAAAAAAGGCAGCACTTCCTGATTAGCCTATTCAGAGGGTGAGTTTGCTTCTAAAGCAAAAAAACCCTACAAACTAAGTCTAAATGTGAAATCAAAATTTGGCAAAGTGCGACACATTTTTGTACATGTGGATGTACGTGTGGCCTATGTTTACGAAGGCAGTCATGGCAGTCCAGTAAATAGGCCACATTTATGGGCATGATGGGGCTACGCACAGACATGAAGCACTTCACGGTAATATGCGCCATTTCACACCTGATATATCGATATAATACAACCACACCTATTGTTCCCCAATTATTGTAACACACACATACAAAGAAATGTAAATAATCCCATAAAAAAACACCGAAAAAATCCCCTAAACTAAACCAACAATAGTATTAGTACCACGCCGTGTCTCACCGTCTCCACAATAGTCTGGTACACCGTGTACAGTTTAGCATGGCCCAACACTTTCTGTAGCCAGGCTACCGGACGTTACCATGCCCATGCAATACATCCAACGCGTCATTTTCACAGCTAGAGGAGGTCAATGCACCTTCTACCTCAAAAAGAGGGCGCCCTTTCTTTCGCGACAAGAAAGTCAACTTTCCCAAAGCCTATACTTTGCGCGCGTCTAGCCGGGCCTATAACGCGATGACACTTCCGCCGAAGCCGCGCCGCGGGCACCGCCGAGTCATTTTATTCCTTCAATACGGATTGTATTTCTCAATTCCAAACCCAAATACTTGTTTACCATCCACACAAATAATCTTTATATCATAATACCACCTTTTAAGAACTCAAAACATAACCTCAATGTACCCACATTCACGGGTTTTATGATTAATTAAAAAACAATTAAACAAAAAGCCGTTTCCAAAAGAAACTTCATATGCATTACTTCATAGTGAATAGACAATGATTCAACATCTTTGTACATCTTTTAAAATGAGTTTTAGATCATGCACCGATTTTGCATAAAAATATAACACATTAATGTTGACGTCCTTGCAAACGTCATCCTGCGTTCTTTAGTGACACCCTATCAGAATGTCACCACCATCGTATACCTCTTACAATTGCAACAGCACCCGAATAACACATTGATCACCGCATATCTTTTTAAGTAACGTCTAATCGCCACACTTCTTACAATTAATTTACCAACACAAGGCTCTTTCATTTTAAAAATCTGTTTTCCAATTCAAAGACGCATCACACAATCGTATAGGACGTAACATTAAAGGGGATATTTCTAAGGCCTAACTAGCTCTTAGTACAGAACTATTATGTCAGATGTGGTTGTAACGTATTTAGCTATGATATTATGTCTTATAGACGAACATTCAACTGGGGCAGCAGGTCCGGTCCATGGACCACAGTTTTTGTACTTTTGCTGATCCATGCCATTCTTTTTATTTTTACAGAGTGGCTGAAAAAAAAAACAATAAAAAACATTGAGCGTCGACATTAGGCCGTCATAAATATATAGCAAAATGAAAAGTCGCAACTTTTCTTGGATGTTAAACTAATCTTAATTAAAGTATATAGGGGATATAGGATATGGCGCTAATTATGTACCTTCACAAATGTTGACGCATCAGTATAATCGTCCGTATCAACAATAATAATAACAAAATATATAAGGCGCATGGTATCTGCAGGACCATTCAAAGGCGCTGGTCTCTACAAAATCACTGTGGTTCAAAACATTGAAAAGATGAGTCTTATGGCATTTGAATGATGACACATCAGTTGTTTCCCTTAACTCGTCTGGTAATTAACGAATTCCCGAGACGTGATGCACAACTGGAATTGCGCCCGCTCCCCGCAGTAGCCAGGCGAGTTTTAGGAACAGATAATATCTGTGATAAACAAGGCCTGCTCGCAGGTTTCTGCAACCTCAATCTTGCAAAATGCAGTTAAAAGATCCACGCTTTTGAAAAATCTGAATGTAAAGTCTGAACGCGCATTTTGATGCTGAGGTAAAGATGTCGAGAATCCTCATTGAAAATCGTAATACATGTACACAGTACATGTATTATACTTTATTACGTATTCGTACGTATGAAATCATTATTTTGTAAGTTTACACCACAAAACCTGCATTGTCCACAACATACATGTCCCCCGGCCTCCGAAAAATGAGAAGCCCGCGCACCCGCCACAAACGCCGGTCAAACTATTGTTGCGTCACGACTTCAACCAAATTTTGCTTGTGAAGTTAGCAAGCTCTTCGCAGTGCTTACTGCTAATTCCGGCCTCCGTGAAATAGACTCCGTTAACAGAAAATCGTGTGCTTAGCAGCGCCATCAAATTGGGCCCAGGTCCCCACGTACTCTACGCGGTACCGTCATGATGCCACAAATTTATGCGGCTTACGTAAATGTGACACAAACTTGTAGTTCGGTATGTGAGTTGGAATAATCATGATTTATCAGAACTAAACAAATTTAAAGAAT